GAATATAATATACAAGTTTCACTTTTTAAATGGAATTACTGAAATCAATCTACTTTTTCATGATATTCTAATTTTATGACCAGCACCTGAAGTTTGTTGGAAAATATGATTTTTTTTTTTTTTTTTCAATCTGTGACCACCTATCCTTTGACAGGTCTTTAAAGTCTTCAGTCAAGTAGTATCTTTCTACCAAAAACACAAAAATAAACATGTTGATATAGAAATAAATCAATATAAACCAAGCTTTTTCATTCTGATATTGTTTACTATCTCTGTTTTAGAGCCAGAAATTTATTTTCTAATTCGGCAAGATCAGCAGACATAAACAATATTGTACGCCATCGCCATCTGCTTGCAGTTTTCACTCATGCATCCAACAACTTACCAGCCTCATTGAACGCTCATATTTTACTCTGAGCGCTACTTCTATCTAACCCCTATTGGATACTTTTCTTTTTCACACCTCCGCTGGATGTTGCTTGGCTCCATGACTTCCTGTTTGACTTTTTGTGCACCTGCATGGCGAGTACCAATAATACGGATACCATTTTGAGAGCCAACTATTGTCAGTCATTCCAGGTAGGCAATAAAAAGTTCTACTGGATTCACTTTGTATTAGTCTTTTTCCTGCTTCACAAAGGTAGGCAGCAGCTTGTCAAAGCCATGATGGCAATTATTTTACACCCAGGTAGTATGCAGTTCTTCATATATATATTCACACTTCAATTACAAACAAATGGTATCAGTATCGGCCAATACTGCTCAGCCAGGTATCTGGGCCAAAAAATGGCATTGGCGCAACACTACTTTTAAGTTTACTAACAAATGGAAACAAAAAGGGTTTTAGTTCTTTTAATCTAAAATAATATATTTATTTATTGTAAAGCTTGTATATTAAAACAAAACTAAAATTTTGCAACAAAGTCATCAGGAGATGTGAGACCAATAACAAAAGTTGTACCCAGATTGCTATTTGCTGTAGTACATTAGGTATATAAAACACCTCCTGAATGGAGGAGGATTGTTTGGGCTTGTTTGAAGCAACAGAGCTTGGAAATTCTGCCAACACTGAACCTCTTTGTTTTCTAAACTGTTTTTCTCTCCAATCTTTTGATAGCTACAGTTTACAGAAGGGCATCCTCCTCTAGTCCAGCTGCCTTTAACCATAACAGCATGAACAATTATCACCTAGAATTGAGAGACTAACTAATCCTGTCTTCATTGCAGCTGTTTGTCCTTTGCCACGGGCTCCTGCAGTTCTCCCAGCTGCTCTACAGCGCCTACTTTAAGAGCACCATCTCCACCATCGAGAAACGCTACGGCCTCAGCAGCTACTCCTCAGGAACCATTTCCTCTCTCAACGAGGTAGGAGCCAATAACAACACCTCCGCCTGCCTTGTAGGACTGTGATAGTGTGAATTTATTATTTTTTTTAAGGGATACTGATGACAAAGGGGAAATAAAGTGCAAGGAACACATCAGAGTTAGATTTCCTGATATTTAAGGGGTTGGCATGTATTTGGGAACAGCCTTATAGATAGAGGGGTCAGGAATACTGAGAGTCATTATGTTCTCACCACGACCAAATGTTTTTCATCTGTCTTAGTTAGATAACCTTTCATCCGAATCATGATCAGCATCAACTTGTTGACACGTTAAGCCATTAAATCAGCCCAAACATGGGGCTCGATTTCCCTCTGGAGCAACAAAAAAGCACTTTAATGATGTTTTCAGTGAAATAATGGATCAACTATTAGAAGGTTTATAACTAAGCTGCATTTTCTAGGATAGTACTTTGTTAGTTTGATTGAGTTGGAGAAAAAGAGTAATAATTTTTTTGATTCTGTGTTTTCTGTTCGACAGGTCAGCAACTGCATTCTGATTGTGTTTGTGAGCTACTTTGGCAGCCGGGTTCACCGTCCTCGCGTCATCGGCATCGGTGGACTGCTGATGGCTGTCAGTGCCATGATCCTCACCTTACCTCACTTCTTGTCGCAGCCCTACGAATACGAGTCGGTTTTACACAGTAAGAACGAGCTGCACACACAGATAAACAAACCAAAACCACAAGACGTTTGTTGACTGAGCAGGTCCAGAGTGGTTAACTCACAAATATACAAACATGTCAAAGCAATTTTAAGGAGTCGACTCTGGGGTTTGGTTTCTTAGACGACTGCAAAGGTCTAAAGGGTTCCCTCATCATTTAGATGTAAACTTTAAGATGAACTAAAGAATCTGTTGCAGCTAAATGCTGCAGTGATTAGAGTTACCCTCAGAGTATTTCATTTGCAGTAACAGAATCCGTCTTCTGACTTTTAAAATGACCTCAGACTAAGTATGCTGTTGTCAGAAGAAGGCCAGATAAGCTTCAGGAAATAGGAAAAAAGTTCAGCTTCCTTCATTAACTGTCTGTTTTTGTGCTTTTTTTTTTTCTTATATAAACTGACCATGTGTGACTGCCTGTTTCAATCCAGGTCGCCATGATATCTGCAACCTACGTGAAAACTCCAGCAGAACAGAATCCTGCGGCCGCGAAGACAGCGGGAGACTGTCGGACTCCAGGAAACTGTGGGTGCTCATGCCCATCGCTCAGCTGCTCTTTGGCGCCGGCTCGGTACCCATCCAGCCCTTTGGCATTTCCTACATTGATGATTTTGCAGGACAGCAAAACTCCCCTCTCTACATAGGTGAATAACCGGGGGTGCAGAGATACAGCAGACCAGTGTGTGTACATAACCAGAGATTAGTTAAAGGCTCCTGTTGTTATGCAGTGCTTTGCAAAAGGATTTATACCTCTTTGACTTTCTCATGTTTTCTAATGTTAATCCTCACAGTGGAGCATATTGGTGAAGTGGATTTGCATATTTTTTTATATACAAATGATAATCTAAATATGTTTACCATGCCTCCTCGCATGGATGTAGCAAACTTTAAAATTGATTTTTCTATGGTTCTCTTTAAAACAAAGCTGTCTTCAAAGGTTAGATTCACAGTTTACACCCACCAAATGCAAGACGTTATTTAGACGTTGGTTTTCAGGCTAAATCTGGTAATCCGTCATAGTCTTGATTTAGTCCAGAAATAGTTCAGTAGTCCACTAATAGACTTGTAAATGTTGAAAACCAAGTTTTAAACATCTTTTCAAAGATCTGAAAGTTAAGGCTTTTCCTCTTTCAGTTTTCAACCAAATGTAGACGTTTGCTCGGTGGGATAGTTTTCCTACCTGAGCTGTGGATCTCTGCAGCTCCCCTACAGGTTCTTTGAGCCTTTTGGCTGCTTTTGAAACTACTGCTGTCTTTGTTTAAAGCTTGTCAATCCATGCAGATGACCATTTCCTTGTGGGTTTCATTTTGCAGGGTTGGAGACAGCTCAATGAGAGGTTCAGACCTTTGGGTATGGCTTTATAACCCAACCCTGCTTTAAGTATCTCTACATCTGATTTATCTGCAAACTCATCCAGCCCTCAGAGAGCAGCTAGATTTCTAAAGAGAATTTTTTAAAGAATAAATGCTTGAAACAGATTGTATATAAAGGTACCAGATTAAAATAGACTGAAAATGTGTTACATTCTATTTTAGAACAATTTGCTTATCTCATTTTTCCCCCTATAAATGTTTTTATTTATTCTTTAATTTGATGCATTGCCTGTAATGATTCTCTTGACCCTCTGTCTTGTCGTTCACAGCCATCCTGTTTGCTGTGTCTGTATTCGGACCTGCTATCGGCTACCTGCTGGGCTCAGTCATGCTGCGGATCTATGTGGACGTGAACAGAAGCGGTTTGGGTAATGATAAAGTCTTCAAACACACCCTGCAGCTCATTTCCATCCTGCCTGTGACGACTCTGAGCTCGATGTTGTTTGCTTCAGGTGCCGAGCAGGAGTTGAGACCAGGCGACCCGCGCTGGGTGGGGGCTTGGTGGATAGGTCTGCTTATTTCTACCGGCTGCCTGGTTATCACCTCCATCCCTTACTTCTTCTTTCCCCGCCAAATGAATATAGAGGTGAATGTAAGTAAGATCCCACCAGTACAGGAATGTTTTGAGGCAGATTTGTCTGAAACTTGTAATTTTTTTTTTAAATATACAAAAGGTTTTCTTTGGTTTCTTACTGACCCCCACTGGTAGTGTATTGTCACTACAGTCCTTGACTCTGATGTCACACATGGTTTTGTGTTAGTACATGCATGTTCTGTAGACAATCTGATAAGGATTCAATGAAAGACACTCTGTCTTATTAAAAGCACCCCTTTCCTTCCTGCTTCTTTCTATATTCTGTAATCCAATATTTTTTTAAATATTATTAGTTATATTAATATTGTGTCTTAAGGCCCACTTTATTTAACTTTTTTTTTTTTTTACTTCTAAAGATTCCAAAAGTTTATTAAAAATATCCTGCTGTCATTAAAAAGTTATTGATATCATTGATCCAATATGGTAGAAAAACAGACCCACGGCATCATGGACCCTCCACCGTACTCATCATTGGGCATTAGAAATCATTTCTGGCTGATAGTGATGATTTTGACATCAGTCTAACTGATCCCCAATATGTGCTATAGATTTTATTTTGGGTGTGGGTTCTTTGAGCTCAAACTCCTTTGTCTTCTTCCATTTACATGTTAACAAATGTTACAAACAGCTGCAACTGTAAACACATGCATTGCAAAAAAAAAAAAGTATCATCCAGTATTTAAATTGGGCTTTCTTTGGTGGCATCCGGTGCTTTTTCCGCCCCATCCACCCAGAGAGCTTGTTGCTGTCTCCATTCGGATAAATATTAAGCACAGATTTTTCTCCAAAAGGTGAAGAACTTAATTTGGGGTCAGGTAAGAATGTATAGCTGTTGCCTAAAACACATATACCAAGAAGAGGCAGCTTCGTAGGATTTTTCCAATCTTTCCGAATGTCTGGCATTCCGCACTTATTACACTGTGGTCAAATGATTATAATTCTTTTGTGTGTGAAGAAGAGCTGATGTTACTCTTCTACTGTTTTCTAGAGCACCGAGAGTGAAACTGACTCCAACGATGACTTAAGGAAGGAAATGTCTTTAGTTGAGTTCCTTAAACGTAAGTATATCAAAGACCGGCTTCTAGGCATATATCCTGATAGGCATCCAGTAGTGTTGTACTAATCCGTGTTCCTGTGTGTTCTGGTCAGTGTTTCCCCGGATGTTTGTCCGCATGCTGTTGAGTCCTCTCTTCCTCCTGCTGGTTCTGGCCCAGTGCTGTTTTTCCTCCGTCATAGCAGGCCTTGCCACCTTCCTCAACAAGTACCTAGAGAGACAATATGGAGCTTCAGTTGCCTACAGCAGCCTGCTAGTAGGTAGGTATGCTACAGTCAGGACACTAATTAAATACTCCTCTTTGATAGATGGTTCTAGATGGGAGCCAAAAGGGGTCAAAACCCCTCTGGGACCAGTTCTAGCCCTGTTATGGCTCTTGTGATCAAGTTAACACTAAATCAATTCTTATTAGGATTTACATGATAAGAAAACAGTTACTGTTGGAAAAATTATACATTTTACCTCTAAGGTTTTATTTTAAAAAACACTTTAGAAGTTAAGGTGCTCCACTTACTAGATCAGAGGTGCAACCTGCAGCTCTAAGTCACATTTCATATCAACAATGAACTATTTTCTTCTTTTCTGATCATTCCTGTGTTTTGTGCCCCCATAAAAAAACAACACTGCCGCCTACAGATACATTTATTCTGAAACAGCCATTGTATTTTGGTGTTTGTAATCTTTTATTTTTCAAATATGCAACTGGACCCTTTATATAAAAAATAGAACTAGATGTATGAACATATACATTTAATGTAGATGTTTTAAATCCACATGAGGTCATACTTACACATTAAGGTAAAGTTATTTGCAGATTTTTACCAAAATATTTCAATAATTGGTAGTTATTGTTCAAGTTAAAATTGATAAGATTCAGTTTTTTCTTGTCTGTATTAAAATAGTTTGTTTTACTCCATGGATTAATCAGTACTTTGTAGACCATGGAAGTTAAGGGGATAAATGAAGTTCTCATAAAAAAAAAAAACAAAAAACAAAAAAAAACTTTCTGGGCCAAATCTGAACCCATTGTCCAATTCATCCCTCAAAACTCTTAACTAGATATTCAGATGTGTCACTTTTTTAGTAAAAAATAAATGATCTGCTCCAGCTGTGCTGACCAACATGAACCCAGTTTTTCACAATGATTTGCTGAGACGTTGCTGAATGAGGAATAAAACCCTTTTAAGCAAACATCTTCAAGCTGGGTTTAAAATTAGCATCTGGGCTTTTTGTCAGCGACGCCAATAAGAATGTTTGGAGAAACAAGGTGAGACCTTAAAGCCAAAGAGAGCTGTACCCTTTACCAGGCACGGTGGTGGTAGCCAGTACTCGAGTTGAGGGGGGATGGCATCCCCCTTCTTAAAAAAAAATCTTTAAAATCCTCCCCCTTATTAAATGACAATCCCCCCATACCATCCCCTGTGACATTTTATTACTAAATGTGTAAAATTTCTGCTATATATTAACAGTAATGGCGATAATATTGTCCTTTCAACATTTGGCCGGCTGGGGGCTTATGAGTAGCCTGAGCAAAATAAATCAAATCAAAGAAGTGTCCTACCATGACTATGAAGCTGATCCCAGTGGGAAATTAGTCCCTAACTATATAGGGGCAGTGATAGCCACGCTAGTCCAGGGTCTGACTGCAGATCTACTGTAAGGTGCATTTTCCAAGGTCAATGACCGGCGTACCTGTCATGTAACAACCAGACCATGCATATTGCTTTAGGTTAATAGACTATATTAATTAGGCTATGTATACTCAAAAAAAAAAAAAAATTCCACCATCCCCCTTATTGTTTTTTTACACCTAGACTACTGGTGGTAGCATCATGCTGTTTCACCAAAACTGTTGGTGGTATGAGAACAGACATGAAGTATGCATCCACCGCATTGCATTGCAGCTGAAACAGTTTTCTCTGGTGGGAAAGTTTGATCTTGACTCCCAAAGGGTGTCCCCCACTGTGGCTGACATTATGAATCTGATTAAGTCTTTTTTGGTTTGATGAAATATAGATAAATTAGATAAACAACGTGGGGAGGTATGTAAGACTTTGAAACTGTTTGGGATAGAGACACAAACACATTTAATTTTCAAACATTTCTACATTTACTGGGTTATGAAACCAATAAAGTGTTTTTTATTTTTATTTCCCTACGTTGAAAAAAAGGACCTTCTAAAATGAATATAGATTCGGTGCTCATTAACTTATAAATTTAAACTTTGTCTTAAAGCTGTTGTTCCTAGAAGTGTTTAAAAATGCAGGTTGGCTGATATTTCCCAGGCGCTGTGAACCTGCCCTCCGTGGCTGTGGGGATGCTGATCGGTGGCGTGATCATGAAGCGGATGGGCCTTTCTCTGAAGAGCATCCCACGTTTCTCCGTCATCATGCTGACCATTTCCACCCTCCTCTGCATCCCTCTCTTCTTCATGGGCTGCGACACACACAAGGTCTCTGAGGTCAACCATCAGATCGCACAGTCCAGGTTAGCGAAGACCGTCAGGCCGGCTCATAGATGACTGTTCTGTTCTGTCATCTCTTAAGATCTGAGCATTGACCCGTTTTATAAAAAAAATAGGAATCCTTTAATTTCACATAAATTATATGAAATGAATCTAAGACCTCATTCCATTATCTAATCATTATTATGATTCAATTATTCTCAACCAGACCCTCAAACACGAAAGTGCTTTTATTTTGGATAGTGTGAAATTAATTTAAAACTTAATGGTAAAACTTAATTTTTTTGTGTTTATCTTAATAAAAAAAAAAACATATTATTCTTCTTAGGATTCTTCTTCTTATAGATATCACAGCTCAGATATGAACATTCCTCTCATTGTGAGTCTTCTAAAATTTTCGATCTCTTGTTTTAAAATAAAAGCTTATTTTATCCTGGTTTTTAAGCGTAGTATTTTTGTTCACTCATAAGAATGGGGAAAAAACATTGAGGATGTAACGCGTTTTATATTGGTCGATTAAATAAGATGCATTCTCTTTAATTCTAGAAAAAATATATGCTAGGTTGATTCGATATTCTGGAAAACAAACTAGATAAACTGTGTCTGTAATTCACCAGAGTGCTCACTTACTTTGGATCATCACCCAGTGCTTGTTGTTTAACGATGCTGCCCTCTACAGGCCATTATCCAAGTGCTATGCCAGCTGCGGTTGTCCTGAGAGCGCCTTCCATCCTGTCTGTGGCTCTGATGGTGTCGAATACATTTCTCCCTGCCATGCAGGCTGCACGAACTTCACCAAAGACCCCAACAGCACTTTCAGAGTTCAGGTCTGTACCCTCTCTACGGTGGTCTTCATGCTTCTCTCTATACATATAAACTTACCTGTTTTTAATATAAATAAGAAAATATATATAAGAGGAAAACAGCATTAAATTTAACAAAAATATGTTAATTTAGAAAAGTAGAAATTCAATTTAATTGATCTTAGAAATACCTTATTAATCTCAAAGGGATTAATAAATTAACCAGGAACTACCTTGTATGTTATGGGCTAAACTGAGTTCCTTTATTGTTCTAAGCAAACAACATGTTTTGCAAATGAAAATTTGAAAGGAATGCAATCCAAAAATCAACATTTTAAAAACATTTGAATCAAAAACAAGTTTTTGAGAACGACTTTCTGATTTCTCTAGGTTTTTTTTTTTAATAATTGTTCTTTTCAAAGAAATTTTAATGTTGTTTTCAGATTTTTTTAAATTACAATCTGTTTAAATGCTGTTTTTCATAATTTTCTTTTTTCTAATTGAGCTTTTTCAAAATTTATTTTGTTTTCAAATTTTATTTTATTTCTGTTTTTTGAAATTCCGTTATATGAATTTGCATTATCTTGAACTTATGTTTCAAAGATTACATTTTCTTTACTTTTCTTTTTTTTTATTTTAGTTTTAGAAATAAATTCTTTGTAATTTTTTTCAATTTTTATTATGCTAGACTTTTTAGTTTTTTGTTTTGTTTTTTAGAGATTTCATACAAGTTAGGAACAAAATATGTACTGGTTAATGTGGACGTCAAGCGTGAGCATTTGTATTGCTGCTCAGCAGCAGGGTTGTTATACAGAGTAATTTATTGTCAAAATCTTACCTGGTGTGATGACTTTGTACCTTTCAGAATTGGAAAAGCCCTGGTATGCAGGAATTTACCCCAGTTTTTTTCTATTACCGCTGACCCTGTTTTATGAGGCTTTGTTATGCATGTCAGAAATATGTAATACATTGCATAGATGTCGGACATAGAACTCCCGCTAAAATGAGCAGATAATATGGAATATGGTTAGCAGTTAACATAACATAACCATATTAACAAATATGGTTTTATATATTCATATTCAGCCAGGCCAACAATCCCCTTTAACGACCCACCTTTCAGAGACAGAGAGGTAGGGGGCATTGCAGGCTAACAAAAGAAACTAAACGACCCCCATTCCAAAGGGGCGGAACCTTCGCCTGTTTTAATTTACATGATTTCAAACCAAAACCAAGGATGGGCTACTGTATAAAACCTCAAACTCAGCGCTATTCCTGACATTTTGAGTTGATAAAGCTTCCTTGATGGGAAGCAAAACATCCTCAGACTTGGAAACAAAACCCAGTGGATTGTTTTTTTTACTTTTTTTTTTTTGGAATGACTACGACCTGGATGACTGAGAATCTTCACCAGCATACACCACAGCTTGTGAAAAATCTGCTAGATGCTGGATTTTTGTAGTTTATATATTAGATCCATACATTTTGCCATCCACCGACACAATACTAAAGGTTATAGAGAGGTATTACTGCTTTCAGCTAGCTTAAGGGATTAATGCACTAAAGTCAGGTTCATTATTCTTCAGTTTCTATGGAGGCGGAATCAAAGGACCCAGTCACACAAATCTCTAAATGGCTTTTTGTTTATTTTGCATGAATTACTGCAGATGCCTCTTGGGAGCCTTAATAAACCATATAAAAGCAAACACATTTCAGGATGAAAAGCAAAAAGTAAAACTGTCATCATGTCATCATAGGACTAATAACATTTCATCACATTTTCACTGAAATAATAGGCATTTAACTTCTCCTTCACTCACAATTTATTTTTCTTATTCATTGTATAGTTTCTTTTTATTTTGTGAATATTTTTGGAATTTGGTCAATCTTGTGTTAGTGATGTAAAGATCTTGAGCATTGCCAGCTGCATAAATATGTAAAAAATATCATTGTAGGAAGATTAAATGTTGTTATGTTACAAAGACCAGAAGATAATGAAATGTACCTATTGAGGAAATATGAATATGTGATAAAATGTGTAGTAATTCAAAATGTATTAATTCAAGAAAACTTGAAATTTTATATTATTATCCTTAGGGTTTGGATGCATAGCTGTCTGGCTACTGCTAATAACAACAATGATATCTCAGATCAGAGGAAGTTCCTAAAATGTCCTTTGTTTTCCCATCGGATACAGGAATACACCAACTGCATGTGTATACACGGCGGCCACGGCCGCGCCAAACCAGTTCCTTGTGCAAACAGCTGCTCACATTTTCTCCTCCCTGTCATCCTGCTCATTTCTCTGGCTTCGCTGATTGCCTGCCTCACTCACAACCCTCTGTACATGATGGTGCTCAGGTAAAAAAAACTATGCCAATGTGGATGGATAAACAGACATGCTGGTATTTTAATAATTTAATTCTGTTCCATTATTGTTGTAAACATGTTTTAATACTTTAATTCAGTTTATTTATATAGCGCCAATTCACAACATGTCATCTCAAGGCATTTTACAGTTCATCAGATCATCCAGTCAAATTGATTTAAAGTTTTCTATCTAAAGAAAACCAGTTGATTGCATCGACTCATTGACTCACATGCAATCCCTCACACTAAGCATGCTTGTAGCGACAGTGGAGAGGAAAAACTCCCTTTTCACAGGACGAAACCTCCAGCAGAACCAGGCTCGGTGTGAGCGGCCATCTGCTGAGGCCGACTGGGGTTCAAGGAGACAGAAGCAGAGACACAAAAAACTGTAAAAGGCGGCCCTGTCCAGGAAACACACAGCCAGGCAGACGAGCTCCGAGCCAGTTCCCATGTCAGAGGATGAAGAGAGCATATCCAGCCAGTCACAGTCAGAGAAACAGGACTACACCGAAAAACAGTCCGATCTCCAACATCTATAAACGAAAGTGTTGATGGGAGCAACACAGCTGATTTTTCTCTCCAGGATGGTGTCACAGCCAGTAAATGAAATTTTAGAGAGAAAAAAAAGAGCGAGCGTTTGTTTTTGGGCTTGCAGTGATGAGATTGTGATCTCTGAAACACAATTTAGATTCATAAAATTCAATCTGTAAAGAGAAATGCATTCTTTTCACATATGCAACTCCAACTTTTTCATGGAAGTCTGAACAGCCCATTTCCAATCTTTTCAACACTGCAAAAATTTAGACTTCAGTCGCTTCCTTATGTGCTTCTATCCTTTGGTGTGAAATCATATAAAAGATTTCTGATAATTGATGATTATTTATCAGGTTTACCAGCAAGTTTTTCCATGTCTCTGAATATTCTAGATCTGTTAATAGATTACTAATCTGTTCTGCTCTAGAAAGTTGAGTGATGTGTTTCTTTCTGTATTTCAGATGTGTTTCCTTTGATGAGAAATCTTTCGCTATAGGAGTTCAGTTCTTACTAATGAGAATATTGGGTAAGTTTAACCTTAAATGAATATGCTGAATAAATACTAGACAGAAAAGTTAGCTGGTGTTTTAAAAGTATTTTTAATTTTGAACCAAAATCTTATTGTTTCCATTTTAATGTCATTATAATATAGCAGTTGTTTTATGCTTTTAATTTCTGGGTTGTTTTTATAGTGAACCACCTTTTATTTTTGTTTTATCCTGTGAAATAAAGTTTATTCACTAGTTTCTTACTGTTGAGGTAATTAGGAAATGGATCAATTAATCAGCAATCAACCAATAAGAAAATGCTTTAAAACTGATAAAAAAAAACAAAACAGATTTGGATTATTTGGATGTTGGAGTTTGGATTTCCATGCAATCTTTGTCATAAAGATGTACTGTCATCAGATTTGGTGTATGTTTGTAGAGGCAGAGACGGAAGCAGAGATTGTTTCTTGTCAGTTTAATAATGAATTTGGTGGCAACAGAAGCACAAACCCAGACTGAACAGGCAGGGAACCAAAACGAAGAGACACTCAGGAGGTACCTACATACAAAATGAAGAGTTTCCTGGAAAGAGGAACTTCACAGGAGGTGTATATATGGGAGAAACAAACAATGAATGGACTTATCAGCTGATAGGGTGCAGGTGTGGACAGGAGCAACTTAAATGGAGATAAGGGGAAAGAAAAGGGACTCTAGGGTGCAACAAAGAATAACAAGGCAAAACAGGATCTAACTGTAAGCTAAAGGAAATAAAATAGAGCTACAAGACACAGAAATAAATAACAAGGGCGAGTAAAACTAAGGATTCAAAGATGATATCAATCTTGACAAACACAGAGTAACATAAAATTAAGCATAACTGAGAACCCCAAAAGAAAACGTAAACGGAACCAAAAAGTCCAAAAGGGAAGAATCATGACAGCTGTGGCTTAATTTTACACCACAGCTCAGCCAAACCTGATTGTTATGACTTTTCAGTGTGGAGTTTTACCTCAACATGTGATGTTGTGCCACCTGTGAACAGTTTGATGTTGACTTAAGGCTTGAGATACATAGAATGATTTTCCCGGTCAATCTGCAGCCCTTGATTCATGTTGATGCTCACTACGGGTTGCTCTTTTTAGAAAACTCTGCTATGTAACATGAGAGGGTTGATCTGTTGCTGAATGAATTATGTGAACCTGAGTGCCGCTTTACAGAGTTAACTAAGCTATTAGCCAACAAAACGGATATGACCCTTACCTAATAAAACATATTTTAGGTTCTCTGATGAATGATTTATTCTATAGGGCTGAATGTGGCCTTGAATTTACCAGGAACCTTCTCAGTCTGCTTGTCTGCTATAAGATCCCAAAACACAAAGGAAATTTATAGTTTTTATTTAACCTTTTATTTGGACAAGCAAGTTACAATTACTTCATACAGACCAGCTTCCATCTCGATGGAAGTATGAGCAGGAATAATATAAGCCAATTCAGGATTTGTGTATAATAACAAAACATCCATAACAGAAGAGCGAGTGTGGGGGGGTAGGTCTAGTCAGATTTTTCTTATATTAGGGGAAAAGCACAATCAGAAAGAACATTTTCCATCTTCCTGAGCAGTGGTACAATACACAGTACTGCAGAATTTAAATGTGAAAGACATATTTAGTCCACAGGGATTACTGATTTTACATAGTTTGTCCATTTAGACCACATCCTGAAGAATGATTCCCTTCAACCTTGAACAGAAAAAGATAGCTCCTCCAGAATGTGGTTGTCCTGTTCAATATTGACCCAGTCCTCAACTGTAGGAGCTTCAGGCTTTAACAATTTTCTAGTGACATTAACAGCAGCTTTTTTATCCCCCAGAGTCCAGCTAATAAATTAAATGTTCCCTAAGTATACGGATTCACAATTATATGGGATTCTTTCAAGAAAGATGTTATTCAAACAGGAATATATCTGCTTCTAAAAAACCTTAATCACTGGACAGCTCCAGAAGATATGGTGCACTGGAAAAAAATCTAAATCGAAATAAGAAATTTTTTCTTAAAATAAGTGCATTTGTTCTTGGATTGAAGAGATAAAAGAGACATTTTGCCAATGGAACAAGACAATTTACATTTAAAATAAGAAAGCACAATTGAAATGTCTTATTTCAAGTGCATTTTATCTAGATATCTTCTTTTAAGAGTAAAATACTAATTCTATTGGAAAATCATCATTGGTAAATACACTTAATTTAAGAAATGTTTACTTATTTCTACATCTTTTTCCCAGTTTGGTGATTTGCCCCATTTGTTCCACAGAGTCTCCATCATGTGTCTCCGCTGCCTCCATGTTTTTTCTGAGCTAGATTTACAAAATATTGCACGGTGTTTTTCCAACAGAACTGCCTCCAAGTATTGGAGCTTGAGGTCATCCAGTTTCATTTATTTATCTGTTCCCAGACTTCAGTTGAGATGGATAAAGTTCCTTCTTTTACCTACACTGGAAAAATAATCTAGAAATAAGTAAAAATTTGTTAAATTAATTGTCTTTACCCTTAATTTGAGTAGGTAAATGAGATAATTTGCCAATGGAATGAGTATTTTTACTCTTAAAATAAGATAATTAGATAATATGTACTTGAAATAAGACAATGCAATTGTGTTTTCTTAATTTAAGTGTAAATTGTCTTGTTGCATTGGCAAAATGTCTCTTTTACCTCATCAATCCAAGAACAAATGCGGTTATTTTAAGAAGAAATGACTTATCGAGATCTCAATTTTTTCCAGTGCACTTGTTTCTTATGTAGACTGTGTCACCTTGTGTAGGGGATAGAATACCATTGTAAAGTATGGAGACTAATTTCTTACATGAGCCTGACTTCAACAGAGACAAGAACAAATTAAAAAGTTGGCTCTATAGTTTTTTAGACAGTGCTGTGTGCATTTGCTTTCCGGACCATTACATCCAAGTTAAAGATCTTGGCTAAAAGTTACAGATTTGCTTTAAAACACACTTCATATTTGTCTGTGCTAGCCTGGCTCCCAGCTCCTGCTCTCTTTGGGATGGTCTTTGACATGTCCTGCATTGGGTGGAGAAAGGTGTGTGGGAAGAAGTTTAGCTGTGGATACTATGACAACAGCCTGATGAGGAGCAGGTAGGAACATTCACAGCTCTGAAGAAGTCTCCACTGAAAGTATGCATTGTATTTGCTAATGAGCTTGTTTGTTTTTAATACCTCTACAGGTACTTGGGTTTACAGGTGGGTTATAAGATCATGGGCATCGTCCTGCTCATCCTTCTGGGCTGGAAGGCAAAGCGGACCCAGGAGTACGATCTGGAAAAGAAACCAGAAATACAAGTGTGATCCTGCAGAGATCCCTTCCCCCCTTTTTCACAGCATTGCTATGAAGTAGAACATGTTGAAGAAGAGTGTTCCTCAGAAGGCTGCTTCAGTGAGAGGAATCCATAAAGACTGTCCTTTGTGACCTGGATTTTCTGCAGGCCTAGTTTCTGCCAGGTGCTTTGCTGCTGCGAATGAGGATCTTTTCAAAAAGGGATAAATCCAGAGTTTTTTTTTAATGGTATCCAATGACCATAACTCTAAAAACAAAGAAATGACATGAAGCTTTCATATTGGATCAGTTGTGTACTGAGAGAATAAGAAGGACCTGCATGGATGTACCATGTTGCTCACTGCTGAGCCTGTTGGAAAGCAGCTTTGCTCATTTAAAGATGAGCCACTTTATATATCTCTCGTTTGCAGTTAGGGTACTTCATAATACCTATTTTACATTTTAGATAAACGATTAAATAATGATAAAAAAATGAAATAACTGAACATTAAGTGTTCATATTTGGCTGGAATGGACTTTGGTTTCTGTTTGCATTTGGGAACATATTCTTTAACTAATTAACTATATAGCTTAATATTTAAGTTATTTTCTACTGATTTGTCTCATACCCTGAGACATTTAACACCAATAATGGTTTCATGTATGATCAAGTGTAACTTTTTAAATGAATTTTCAGATATTGAGCACCTTTACTTCTTTTATATTTTTCAATAAAATAAGTTATGCACCTACATTGTGTTATTATTGGGTTATTAAAGTTAGTGTATTTGCAGCACATCCTATTTGTTCAGTTTTGGAATATATACATAAAATATATATAAGATAAGACAATATGTATATGTAAAAATCTGGTTAAAGAAAGTTTAGAAACTGTTTGCTGCAGGAGACACAATGAACACCTGGGGGAGAAATGGTTCCCGAGCAAGACCAAAGCAAACTTTTATTTTTCCCAGCAACATCTTCATTGTTTTTTTTTTTTATACAGTGTACATAAACATTTTATTCTGCCTTAGGACTGGGAACCAATACGAGGAAACAACTAAATGAATTAAATAAAATCAACTATTTAAACAGGTGAGGACAATATATGCAAAAATGTATATAAAATAAAGACATAAAAGTGTGTATTGAGAACACTAATGTATATTGAAATATATGTTAAAAAAAAAACTTGTCTTCTGTAGTTACTCATCTTGGGTGCTTGATAGATTTAAACCTTTCAGCTAACAAAGAGTTTCCGAATACTTTCTATAATTAAGATCACATTTGATTAACCGCCTCCTGGTGGTTATTCAGGCCACGCCAAAATGGCGCCAATAAACACTGTGGCAAAACTAAATAACCCAACAAAGATCCTACGGCCCTCATGACAAATGGTGGTTGAGATATGTGAAAGATATTCACAAGGTAAAATCTCAGTGATTTTCTTACTCCATTTTTTTTTCTCTTTCCATTATGTATACAAATCTATAAATACAACAGTTAATTGTGTTTTATAGCCACTGCTGATTCAGATCCCGGGGATGTAAAAAACAAATCAGAATTGAGGAACCGAAAAGAAAAAGAAATGTATTGCCTTTTTAAAATCAGGTTTTGGTGTACTTGATATTTTTCTCTTCACAAAGAAAAAGTTTTGATTCAAGTAAAAGCAAAAAGCAATCAGAGTGCTTTGGATATAATGAACAAAATGTTCTGATTTGAGATATACATGTTTATTGTGCAGGAACCATTAAACATCTAGTATGAAATATACGTGAGGCTGGTTTGGAAGCATAAAAAAACAACTAAAGGTCAGTTGATTATATTAAACACCTTAATATTTGTTTAAGATTTCTATACCATTTATAGTCTATCCAAAAAAATAAAAAATAAATCTGAAAATGCAGCAGTGAATGAGGCACCAGAAGATGTTTGGGCTGCAGAAGAAGAGCTCAGAACCATATTTGAAGCTCTGGAAGCTTCAGTTGAGGTCAGAGTTCTTTATTTGTTTAAACGTTTGGAACCTTATTTACTGATCCACTCTCTCGCCAAGTGTGATTTAATCTGGCATTTCAGAAAACATGTAGATCACCCCAATTTTACTGTCACTAGAGTCTTCTTATAACCTCTAGCGAACTTTTCAATTTTGCTATTCACATGCTGTACCCCCAAAAATAGGCTAAAAATGCCTATGATCTATAGTATGCATTTATTCAGCTTCTAGCAACAGCTACCCTTTTTTCCACTCTCATAAGGTTAAGTCTATGTGTTATCCCTGACAGCTCACTATTCTTTCAGGCTCATAGCAATGATATCACTCTTCTGTAAATTTTCAATACACTTTGGTTGTTGTAACTAATTACTGCAATTGGAATTCAGATGGTTGACAACTCAGCAGCAAAATCAAACAAAATCACTCCTGTCCTCCAGCAGCTGCACTTCATGATGGTTTATCAAGAAATAGAATTCAAAATATTGTAAAAACATTCAAGACATTTCACAATCTGCTCCCCATTATCAGTCAGACCTCCTCCTTCAATCACCTCCAACCATCTCAGCAGCACCAAGGGCGTGTGAAACATGCACATTTACTTGCTCAAATGTATTGCTTTTTTTGTATTATTGGATCATCAGAGTTTACAACTTAAAATGCTCACATCAGTTTCACCCATATAAGTGGTATAAGCATGTTTTTTTGAATGAACCCCCTCTCCCCAAAAATGAAACAAACAAATTAATAAAAAAATAAAAAATAAATAAGCTTGCAATAAAATTACAACAATAAATATGCAATAGCAGCCGACTTTTTTCTATTTAAACTTATGATTATACTTAATAATATAAATGCTATTTGTTGTTTTGACAATAAAACCAATAACAAAACAAGTAAGAACTGTATTACCCTTCAGTTTAAACAAAACGTTGGTGTTTACTACAGTCAAATCAAACTAAAAATCCTATTGAACATTGGCAACATGCCTGAACATTTAGATTTTGACAACGAACACAATTGAGAAAATGTTTGTCTTTGCCACATAGCATTTGTACAGGACATAGGGTATATATATATATATATATATATATATATATATAGGAAAAAATCAGCAACCAGTGAAATTAATTTAAATGATTTATCTATCTATCTATCTGTCTGTCTGTCTGTCTGTCTGTCTGTCTGTCTGTCTGTCTGTCTGTCTGTCTGTCTGTCTGTCTGTCTGTATGTGTGTGTGTGTGTATGTGTGTGTGTAATCTGTATAATAATAAAGTGTATGTATTTTCCAACTGTTATTTCTATAAGCTTTTTAATTTTGGAAATGTTTTCTACTTTCCTTCTCTGTTTTGGTTTGGATTGCCTCTCTATTTCTCACATCCATTTATCCATTTAAGTTTTTGATGTAAAAAAAAATGCTCATTTTATTTTATTAGAAATTGTACTATGTTCCCTCTATAACATGACGTAATTTTATTTCCCTGGCACAGTTGTGTGGAAAACGCGCATGCGCACAGGGCCCGTCTAAACACTCCCCCCTAGCGTCACGGAGCGGGCGGTGCAGCATCGGCGGCTCGTGCCCATCACCAGGCTGGTAACACCGCCGCCCCATTCCGTCGAGCATCTTCCCCTAAACAGCACCGAAGTCCTGCCGTTATTCTGTCCGCCCCGGCGTCTCCAGTCGCCCCCCATCCTTCACGTCCTCCACCTCAAAATGTCCGTGGGAAATGACTTTGGGAACCCTCTAAGAAAATTTAAACTCGTCTTTCTTGGGGAGCAGAGCGGTAAGAAATGTTTTCTTCACGGCAGAAGAAGTTGGTTGTCGGTTGTTTGTCAAGTGAACTCGCTGCACCTGCTGGTCAGAGAGCAAGTTAACGGGCATTTAGCTAGCTGCTGTGGCCGACACGCATCTCTGAGGTTACAGGGAGAACAAAATACATGTTTGTTCACAGAGAGTGAAAATAGGGCGTCACTTTAATGAAATAACACTGAAGCGCAGTGTTATCTGTTTTGTTGAAGTTTATAAATGCGATTATCCGCCCTGTATATTAGTTAAATAGAGCATTAGAGTGGAAATATACAGGGAAGGAAACTGAAAACATGATGTGGCGATGCTGATGAGTCAAGTTTATTTATTTTATTTTTTATTGATTCTCATATTCCTGTGTTGAGACACACCCAGGATGTCAGCGGCGGTGAGGTAACTTGTATGACCGCAATCTGTGTCCTGCTAATGTCCAGACTGAGTTCCCATGTTCTTTAAACGCTGACCTGCTTTATATTATTAACATTTTACTGCATGAAGCACAGAGCATAATGACGCCTTCTGCAACTCTCTCTGATTCATCAGTTTTTTCTTTCTGTCTAAGCTCTGCTCTCCATCCTGAGCTCTACATGCCCACACCCTCAGACAGCCAACAGCCTCTCATTTTCTTAGGCGACTCAATTGTTTTCCAGGAGATTTCACAGAGCTGGCAGCGCCCCAATCTAAATCTCCAGGTTTTAATTCAGGCTTTTATCAGGGCAGGTCTGTTTTTATTCTTTGGGGCAGTCAAATGAACCACATTATTCATGGCTCTGTGCTCCAATCTATCTATTGATCATGCATTAATAGCAGGGTCATGTGTTTTTATTAAATACCAGTTAAATCAATTGGTTGTTATCTGCAGAGTGGGATGCTTTTTTTTGTACATTTGCCACTCAGATAATTTATAATAGAAAATTAAATGTTCTTGAGTTCTCTGTTAAGAATTAACAGATTGTTTGTTGTTTTGCTGTTTGGGCCTGAGTTAAAATCAGGTATTTATTAAATGAAAACAAATCTAGTACAATTGATTATCACCCAGGATCACGTTTGACAGATTTGAGCTTGTCTGGCATGTTCAGATGCGTTTCTTCTCCATCAGAGGTGAATTATTGACTGCTCAGTGTTTGATCAAGGTCTGCAGAAGCCCGATAATGACCTCCACATGTGATCCAGCTGTTTTAAACTAGGGAGACACATAAAACATATAGGACACTGACTCTCCACACTATGGCTGCACACAGACGCCCGAAACTGTCAGTGTTCATAGAGCTATGATTGACGTTTTCCTGTTGCAAATAAGTTGCGTGAGATACTGCGTGTTGGTCAAGTTAAAGCAATGGTCGTTTTAAAGAAAATGAATCAATGAAATTTAACACAAACCCCGAAACAATTGGCTTCAAGCATAGTTTAGAATAGTAAGAACTGTGCTCCAGGCTTCGTTTGACAGATGATAAAAGAACTAGGGTTGCAACTAATGATTATTTTGCAAATCGATTATTTTCTTGATTTTAATCGGATCGCCAAAGTGTCCTTAAAGACGATTTTTTACGAAATTAAACCTAGTGAAACTCAAACTTTTTCACTTGAGGAGTTCTGGATAGAGCATATTGACAGATTAATTTTTTTTTATCTTAAATGCAAAATACTTATATATATATTTTTTTTACAATCTTGGTATAATTACTGCTCTAAGTGGGTGGCTCTGTCCGCTACAGGCATGTTTTACGGTCTCTATACTCCAGTTAACGATTTATCGATTACTAAATTAGTTGAGAATTAGTTCAATAAGGGATTAATCATGATTAATCCGATTATTTGTTTCAGCTCTAATAAGAACCATTAAGAAGATTTTTATTTAATTATTGTTGCTATGTAATTTTTATTTCTCCAGATATTAAATATGGTTGAAGTTTTGCATATTTTTTTAAGTTAAAGGTGATAGATAAAAGACTAACCCCTCTCAGGCAGTTGGGCGCTTGCACACGCCCGATCTCCTTCTGTACTATTTGCCAGCCGGTTGCCATGTCCGCAAATGCTAATTTGGATGCTATCCTTAGCAAATGTTGAACTTTTTTAACCATTATTTTTAGGCTCTATTGGCTTTTATTTTTATTTTTTTAGAGAGAGTAGGTAGACGGGAAATGGGAGTAGAGAAAGGGTAAAGACATGCAGCAAAGGTCACCGGGTCAGGACCGGAACCTGTGATGGCCGCGTCGAGGACCAAAGCACATGGGTCACACCCCTAACCCCTGCACCACAGCCGCACCTCAACATCTGCTTATCCATCCAAAAGAAGATGTGAACCTCTGAGTGGCTTCTGAGCCCCTTTGCTTCCTTTTGTCATATCTGGTCTGACGTTCACCCTTGTTTTGCTCCTTTTTTTGGCTTGAATCTAAGAAAGAAGCCGTTTCTCATTGCTATCACAGAGCGACCAGGATCTGGCAACACCTGAGCTACATTTCAACCTATCGTCTCAATTGGTGTAGAATCCTTTTAAAATAAATATTTATACATTTTGGACCTGTCAACATTTAGAAAACTATATGTATACTATTAGTTTTTTTCTTATTAAAATAAATTATTTGATTCTGCACCACTTTTTTCTTTTATTTTTCTTCT